CAGCGGTTGGTCTCAACGCACAGCTAGACAGCTGTAAACTGTTCTCAGGTACCTCAGATTAGCAGGGAACTGGAGCTTTGAACCACCTTTCCTCCACAGGTCATAAAGCATGAGAAAGACTGAAGCTTTGGCCTAACCCACTCACTATCCATCTTTCCCCTTTCCTTCACAGTGAAGCCGTGAGTGGGTAGGAAGGAAACCAGTTCTGTTTGTTTCCTGCTCCTCCACTTTTCTGGTCACATGTCAGCTGGAATGTTTTTCAACCCAGGAGATTAATATCTAGTGATTTTTAAGCTCCCACATCCCTGCGCAGTTGGTTGTAAGGGACAGGCACACAGTTTAGTTTTTTCAGCTTGTTAGCTGAAATGCAGCACTTCAGTTATGGAGTTTCTCCATGTAGGTGACCTGCCAGTGTTTCCGAACTCCCTGAGATGGGCTGTATTATTGGTACCCCACAGTGCCTGTGTTAGGAAAGGTTGGTTCTACAAAAAACAGCTCTGCTTCCTGGGGCTGCTTCAAGTCTTTTCCCTTCTTAGCATTTTCATTCAAGTCCTACAGACTTCCATTTCTCCATCCATTCATCAAACAACTACCCAGCATTACCATTCGGTAGGTACCAGGTGCCGGAAACTTCACAGAATAAAGAATGCCCCAGCTCTCTTAAAGCTCATCTTAAAGTGTGTGGATCGGAAGTTCTCCTCCCCTGAATTTACCACTAGAGTTCAGGTCTATCTGGACTGTCTGGACAGCCTAGGGGACAGAGCTTAGGACTCTAGTTGTAATTTTGGAAAAGAAGAGAAAGGGAGGGTTAGAGGGTATCCTGGTAGCCCGGCGTCTTGCTCAGAACTTATTTTTTTGAGTCTGGTTTGTCAGAGTGCTTGGCTAACTTGCACTAGGCCGTGTGATTTATTCCCAGTATTGCGTGAGTGTAGCATGGCTGTGTGTACCTGTAACCCCAGCCCCCAAGAAGTGGAGAGGAGGACCAGAAGCTCAAGGGTACCCTTCAATACATAGGAAGTTCAAGGCTTCAGAAAAAAAAAGTTAGAGCTGGGTAAGTTGGTGCATGCTTGCAGTCCTAGGAAGCTGAAATAAAAGGGCTGTGAGTTCAGGCTAGCCTAAACTGCATAGTGAGACTCTGTCTCAAATAAGAAAACTACCTAATTTGCAGTTTTTTTTCTCCTCTATGTCACCAGTAGTATTAGGTTTATCCAAAGACCAACTTAACTTCATGAAGCCTGTATGCCCAACTTCTGCCTCTCGTTTTTCTTCCTAGAAGGGCTTCATGTGCATGTTCATGTGTGTGTGTGTGTGTGTGTGTGTGTGTGTGTGTGTGTGTGTGTGTTGGGAAAACCCTGTACTATGGTGTGCATGTGGAGTTCATAGGATAAGTTAATGGGGTCAGGTCTCTATTTCCAGGGATTGAATTCAGTCATCAGGCTTGGAAGCAAGTATCTTTGTCTAGCGATCCATCTCACTGGTGCCTTTCTATAAGGTTTTGTTGTGTGGCCAAGGACCAAGACAAAAAAAGTCCTCAATATTTCAGCAGAAGAGGAAATGCATTTTATCCTTTATCTCTTGAAGAGGAATGGAACTAAGAGGAAGAGCTTTGGAAATCTCAGCAGCTTTCTTTTTCTAATTCGTGATTTATCCAGGGCCCCATCTGATGGGAATATCTCCATAGGAGCCAACAATTCCTAGAAATCCTTCAGGGTTGTTGTAAATGGGTTGCATTTCCAAAGGCAAGTAAAGGCATGTGTCCAAGTAGGAAAGAGAACCCGTGCCCTTTCCTCTCGTGTACTCACCTGCTGGAGGGCACTCTCGGGCAAAGAGTCATCCAACATAGAACAAATAACCTGAGTGTGCACTGTCAAATAGTGATTCTCTCCCTCCCTCTCTCTCTAGTAAAATATTTTGATGCTAATATTACCATAAGAAAACCTTTAGAAGTGGAACAGCAGAATGTATAGAGCTGGTAACAGTGCAGGTGTTAGTTACTGCTAAGTCTGTCCTAACAAGGGCAGAAGTCGTAGTGGCCTCCATCGGAGTGGCACTTCTGGCCTTAAGCACAGTCTAACATAAAGGGTTTACAGTCACACTGTAAATCCTTCCTGGCATCAGACAAATGTCTAGACTTCTTCAATTTTGTCTCCTCTTCAAACTTAAAATGAGCTTCTATGTCGCTGGTAGTTCTAGTTCCCACCACAAGGCCATGTGACTTCTCGGGAGAAAAGCTAAAAGAGGAAATGCAACGTACATTCTCTTCAAACCTTGCATGTATTGCTTCTACTCCCATCTCTGTGGACAACTTAATCAAATGGCCACATGTGGCTACAAAGGAGGCTGGAAAATGTCATTGTTAGCTTGGGAGAAAGATGTTCTATTTTACTTTTCTGTTCCTGTGAGATAAATACCATGATCTAAAGCAACTATAGGTAAGAACAGGTTTATTTTAGCCTATCCTTCCAAGTCACAATCTATTATTGAGGGGAATCAAGTGGAAACTGGAGCAGAAGCCATGGAGAAATATTGCTTCCTGGCTTACTCACTGGTTCATACTTGGCGAATTTTCTTGTCTAACCCAAGTCCACTTATCTATGGATGGACTGAGCCTTCCCATATCAACCATCAGTAAAGACAATCTGATCAAGGGGAGTCTTCATCTGAGGTTCCCTCAGCCCAGGTGTCTCTAGGTTGTGCCAAGTTGACAATATAAACTAACTCTAACACCAACAAGATATGCTCTTCTAAAACATGGAGCTTTTATTGCCAATGGAAAGAAGAGAAGAATAGACTTAGGGTGCCATAGCAATTTCTGTCAAAAGAATTCATTTTCCATTGCTGTACACCCCACACTTGGTAATTCCAACCTCTCAGCTATAACTCAGTCTGGCTGTGATGCTCACATGAGTCTCCAAACCATGTCTCACCTTTGTCTTAGCTACTTTTTTCATCATGTGACAAAGCATCTGGCAGAGATAACGTAGGGAGGAGAGGTTGGCTGTAGTTTACAGTTTTGGGGTATACTCCACAGAGGCAGGCAAGGCATGGAGGAGTGACTCTGTGGCAGCAGAACTATGTTGTGGAACTCCTCACATGTGGCTTCACAGGACAGCGGAGGAACACTGGACACTGGGCACTGGAAGCAATGCTGGGCTGTCACCCGCAAAGGTTCATCTCCAGTGACCCGGCTCCATAATCGAGTTCCCACCTCTTAAATGTTCCATAGCCCAGAGCAGCACTACTAGCTGGTGTCTGAACACAGGAGCCTGTGGGAGACACTGACAGCTCAAACCACATAGTTTGTCGGACCCTTTTAATGTTATTAAAAACTATTAAAACCATTAAAAATTATTGAGGATCCCAAAAGGCTCTCTTAATGTAAACTAGTATCTACCAATAGTAATCATCTTAAATCTAAAACCAAAAAATTAAAAATATTGTTTATTAATTTTTTATAAACAAGATAAATCCATTATATGTTAACACCAGAGTGATAATAACATCACACATTTAGCTTTTTAAAAATTCCACCACACACTTGTGAAGGAGAGAAAAAATAGGTAGACAACATCTTAGTATTATCAAGAAGAAGTTTTGTTGTACTAACTCCATCTCCATCATGAATAATGACAGTACAATTCAATTTACTGGGGCTGGAGAGACGGCTTAGTGGTTGAGGGCACTGGCTGGTCTTTCAGAGGAGAAGGGTTCAGTTCCCAGCACCTACATGGCAGCTCATCACCACCTGTTCCAGGGAAAGCCAACATCTTCTTCAGGCCTCCCTGGGCACCAGGCCACACACGTGGTGTACATATATATATATATATATATATATATATATATATATATATATATATATAAATTTTAATTTCACATAAGTAAGACTGTTTTTATGGAGAGGGTGGATGGTGAGGCAGGGTTTTCCTGTGTAGGTCAAGCTGACCTCAGACTCCCTGTGACCCTTTGCCTCAGCCTCCTGAGTGCTGGGCTTGCAGGTATGTACCAGTACCTAGGGCCCTTTAATAAGATTTTAACTTTTCTTTTTCTTTTCTAAAATTAGTGGTTTGAGATTCTACTTAATTGTCCCCACCCCACCTCCACCAGCACTAAAGGTATATTCTGGAAAGGGGAGACCATAGGTAGGAAAAGTCTGGTTCACACTTGATCACATAAAAGACCCAAAATGTTTCCTTCTGACCTTTGATTTTTTTTTTTTTCATAACATTTTCTGGTCTTTTCAGAAATGAGAACTGATATAGTTTAAGCTTCTTATGAATCCTCTAAAGAGCTGTTAAACTCTACCATCTGACTCAACTCATTTGAGAGGAAATCTTACGCAAGAGGTTGAACGAGAAAGCTCCCGGGAGCTTGGGCACCAAAACTCAGTTGCTTTTGGTAGCACTGGAAGAGGAGACACACAGGGACAGCCCAGTGGTTCCCAAAGTGTGGTCTAGAGGTCAGCATAAAGGCTCCACCCAGGACGTGTGCGAAATTCCACATGTACTGACTCAAAGATAGGGCTGGCCTCCACAGTCTGTTTTCACAAGGCTTCCTGGTGACTCTGGATTGGGGGTTCTGGGGGCTGGAGTTACATGAGGATGGCTGGGATATCCAGTCTATAGTTAATCTTTAGTATAGAATCTTCTGCTTCTTCCCCCCGCCCCTTCTGTAAACATTGAAACTATCCCTTCTTGTCAGTGTTTTCATGATACATACCAGGTATATGTCTGTGTTCACCTGTAAGTGCAGGCCAAATCTAGAGTACAGTTGATAGCAGTCCCAAAGAAGCCAGCTCTTACAGTGGCCTGTTCATAAAGCTTTTGATTAGTATAATTCATGTCCTAGGATCCAGTTTAGCCTTCTGGCACTGACCCTAGACAGAGTCTTCCAAATATTGACACTCCATGGTCCCCACACCTTGGCTACTTTGTTTTGATGTTATCCAAAAATCGTTCCACCACAGGTTCTGTTCTTTAGGAATTCAAAACAGAAGCTTCAGTGGAAAGGGGGTTTCCATCTAGGATTGGGCTAAGAGTGTACGGAGTCCTGGTTACCAGCCTGGAGTTTTAAAGGCTGATCAGTAAGTGATGAAATCAGAAGAACCAGTTAGGCAACCAGACGTTGAGAAAGGAGTCACATGGCTTGTGAAAACAGAAAGGAAGAAGGAAAGTGGGTTGGGGCATAGAAGAGGAGGAGGAAGAGAGAGGAGGAGGAATATTTACATTAGTGCTGGGCTTTACTTAGGCTTTCCAAACGGGGAGGTTACAATGAAGTCAACCTAAAGCCACCCGAGCTCTTATCAACATATATACATGAAAACAAAACACATAGAGTGCTTTTGGGCCCTCTCTCCTCTTAAAGACTTTAGAGAGAATGGTTAACTCCTATTCTTCAATGGCAAAGTCCAATTTAGTGATGGAGTTGAAGTTTCCCGATGCGCTGATACGTCTTGTGACTTCCGAACTTTATAGAACCCAAGGGATAACCCAAAGACACCTGTTGAGTGAGTGACTTCCTAGATTTTGCTTGAGCTTCATGATTCCCATTAACTTCTCTTGGCCTCTGACTGCTCTTAGTTTTCTAGATGGTTCTTCTACTCTTCTTCCTGGAAGAAGATTAACTCATGACAGCCACACATGTCATAGTATACCAAGAATTGCACAGTCCCCACTCAAACCCGTGTGAACAGAACAGTCCACTTTATCCCTGATAGTCTAACTCCAAATTCTGCTTCAGAATCTTGTTATTTTACCACCTGATGAAACCCAACCTCATGGCTTCTCCATTCCTCCTGAGGCCAGAACCAGCTGTCCACCCCGTCTCTGCTCTGTGTGTTAGTAATTCAACTGAGTGTTCTGAGAAAGAACCAAAGAAATCATCGCACACCCCTGTTTACTTCAGGCTGGATGGTACAGATATGGAGGCTGAGTGGGTGTGAGCAAGCAGATGTCCTAATGGTCTGTACTTGTGGCTAACCTCTGAAGTGTATTACTTCAGACCCCCACTTTACATTCACTGTAGGATCTGGTGGTTACAGAGTCTCCCTATCTCAGAACCCAGGGCCCCTCTCTGACTTATTCCTCTTCCTTAATTCTTGCTGTTATTCAGCTTAACCAATCATACTGATTTGGTCAACTCTTTTCTGTACTGCTTGATTCTTTTCCTCCTTTCAAGCAGAACCACAGACTTCTACTCTAAGAACTGAGGGAAACTTAAGACCATACTGTAGCTCTGTAAGTTTAAATTTAAATGAAATACAATCCATTCTTGGAGCTGGGCTTCTCCCAGTTCTTAGTTCATGAGAATGTTTCCCATCTCACCCGGAATGTCACAGGCCACAGCTCCAAGGAGATGTGTGCTGGAAATATGTAACAGCCCAATCCACGAAGATGCTGCCTAGTTCTATTGTGAAAATACTCCCACCACACCTCGTGTTCAGCTACCATTGTAATCCCAACACTTAAAAAGTCGTGTGATAGGAGGACTGCTGTCAGTTCAAAGATGCTTGGGCTACACAGTGAAGACAAGCTCATCTTGGGTTGCATAGTGAAAACCTGTCTCAAAACAGCTGTTCTAAAACAGCCATTCTCAACCTGTGGGTCTCGACCCCCTCAGGGGGTGTTAATGACCCTTTTACAGGAGTCACCTAACACCATTCAAAAACAGAAATTTACTTTATGACTCACAACATTAGCAAAATTACAGTTATGAAGTAAAAAAATTAGATAATTTTATGGTTGGGGCCAGCACACCATGAAGAACTCTAATAAAGGGTTTCGGTGTTAGGAAAGTTGAGAATCACTGATCTAAACCAAACCAAACAAATAAAACCCAAACAATCCAACAGGGCAAGAAAGATGTCTCAGTGGGCAGAGGTGATTGGTGCCAAGCCGGATGACTGAAGGAGAGAACTCGCTCTCAAAAGTTGTCCTCTGATTCCACATACACGAAGTGTCAAGTGCCCCGGCCCCACCACAAAAAAAAAAAATCAATATTAAAAACATAAAAAGGGAACGAATATTAAGCAAACAGCATAAAGGGCTAGGTTGTAGCTGATAGAACACACGTGTCTAGCATGCTCAAGGACTCGGATTCAGTTCCCAGGACAACAAAAATAAAAACAAAGCACGAAATTCCTAAAAACCTAACCAGCCTGAGCCAGCCATTGCACACTCGTAGCTCCTAGTAATTATTCCAAAACAACCAAAATACCTCTGGCAAAGATCTCTCTCTCTCTTTTTTTTTTTTTCAGTAATTCAGAGGTAGGGTTTCCAAATGGCCACAAGGGGGCATCATTAGATGAAATTAGCTTCTAGAAAGTAGACTTTTTCATATAAGAAAAACAATCTTATTATGGATTATGTGTCCTGCAGGCTCCTGTCTGTTTGAGACAGCGTCTCGTTAGGTAGCCCCAGGCTGGCCTCCCTGGCGCTGGAATTTTGGAACTATGTTTTTGTTTTATTTATTTGTTTGTTTGTTTGTTTGTTTATGTGTTTATTTATTATTTTTGTCTGTCTCTTTGTTTTGGACAAGTTCTTTGACCAAAGGAGTCGTATTGATGTTATATTTCAGTCTCCCTAATGATTGTGATACTGGGCGATCTTTGGGGTGATTGTGATACTAGGGCGATCTCACCTGGTTTTAGGCCGTTCCTTACTTCACATTAAAAACTCTGTGCTCTCACGATTCACAAAGAGCTCCGCCTTCCAAGTCCGAGGAAGGTCTTTTAAGATACCAAATCTGGGTATGTGGGTCTTTAAGATACTAAATGAAAAGGCCCTTGCCAGGTAGACACTCATCCTGAGAGGGGAGGAGGTGTCACAAGTACTGAGGCCCTTGACTGTCAGATATCATACTTCATGTCCCAGAACCCTCAAAAAAGAACAGCATAAGGACATAGGTAGATAGTCAGAGCTATAAATAACCAAATATGCATCCTCATTTGGATAGCAATTATTCAGTTGAGGAAAATTAGGAGTAGGCCAGATGAACAACATAAGAATGGGAGAAATCGGATTCCTACCCATCTACCCTCTGGCTATGATATTAAATTTTAAGAGTATCAGCGTTAGCCAAACCCTGCCCTGGCAGGAGAGGCACTCCCTTGACCTTTGGGACTGTGGTGGTTTAGTTTGAATTGTCATTTTAACACAACCTAAAAGTAATGGAAGGGAATTTCACGGAGGGCTCACCTGGATTAAGTTGCCTGTGGGTCTGTCTACAGGGGATTGTCTTCATTATCTTAATTTGATGTGGGAAGACCCAGCTTAAACCCATCCCATAAGTTTGGGTCATAGATTGCATTACAAAAAAAAAAGTGAGCTGGGCACGAGTGAGCATGCATTAATTCACTGCACTCTGCTTTTGATCGTTGGTATGGCATGAGTAACTGTTTCAGGTTCTGGTCACCTTAGCTCCCACACCAGTGACAGACTGCAGCCTGGAACGTTGAGTCAAAGAAACCCTCTCTCTCCTAAGTCCCTCCTGTCTGGACATTTTATCACAGGCACAGGAAGTGAAACTAAGACAGGGACTGAACATCTCACACAGCTGACTCTAAGGAGGGTGGGTTGGCTTTTCTCGAGAAGTTTTTTACATTTTTAACTCTTTAAAAAATTATTTATTTCATTTTTTAAATATAAGATTAGTTTTTTTTTTAATATAAGTTCAAGACTGACCTTGAGCTTCTGATTTTCCTGCTTCTACCCCTGAGTGCTGGGGTTACAGGTGTAGGCTACTACACCTGGTTTCTTATGGCGCCGAGATCAAGCCTGAGCTTTGCGAGCATGTTCAGCCCTCCCTCTACCCACCGGACTACCTCCCCCAGCATGTTATTTCTTCCTCCAGCCTCTGAGAATGTGACATCATACCCAGCCCCTCTCCTCCCCCGTGTGTGTGTGTGTGTGTGTGTGTGTGTGTGTGTGTGTGTGTGTGTG